GCGGCCTGGGCTGCTCCGCAGTCGTCGCCATGTGGGGGGAGCGGGTCTTGAGGGCGCTCGGGGCCCTCCACGGGCCGCGGGAGCGTCAGTCGGGTCGACCCAACAGGCGGTCCAGCGACAAGGGGGTGGTGCAATACATTTGGTGCAATCGATTTGTGGGGTTGCAACACATCTGGGGCGTGCAACACATTCCGGGGCGCAAATGCTACTACTGTATTTTCGCGTGCCTTGCATTGCTTGCAATACAATGCAATCGAATTCTCTGGCGCAATGCATTTGCAATGCGCCTGTGCCCAAAATCTTTTGTGCAGGCCTTTACGGCCGGTGCCGCCGACCCTGAAGGTTTTGGCCGACGATGGCGACGGGATGTGTGATCACAGGAAGGAGCTAAAGGACAACGTGACAGGGTAGGTGGAGGAAGTGTGTGAGGAGGAGGAGGAGGAGGAAGAGGAGGAGGAGGAGGAGGAGGAGGAGGAGGAGGAGGAGGAGGAGGAGGAGGAGGAGGAGGAAGAGGAGGAGGAGGAGGAGGAGGAGGAGGAGGAGGAGGAGGAGGAGGAGGCCGAGGAGGAGGAGGAGGAGGAGTAGGAGGAGGAGGGGAAGACAAACGAAAAGGAGATGGGAGACAGGTGGCAGATGAAGACAGCTCAGGAGGAGGAGGAGGAGGAGGAAAGGAGGAGGAGGGAGGTGGTTAGACCCCCCTCTAGGACCCCACCGGGACCCCCCCCCAGGACCCCCTCCGGGATTCCCCTGGGACCCCCCCACCCGGCCGGGGAAGGGAACTAAGGGAAGGGGAAGCCCTTCGAGTGAATTTACTTTAACCAGGAGGAACAGATGAAGGAGGAGGAGGAGGAGGAGGAGGAGGAGGAGGAGGAGACGACCGAGAAGGAGACGGGGAAGCTGGGAAAGGGAAGGAGGCACGGACGAGAAGGACTACCCCTTCCACAGGCCGACAGGGTCGGCGGATTTCACCACCCCCTTTCAGCTGGAACCCCTGTTGGGTCTCCCAGAGTCAGGGCGCGGCTCAGGGTGAAGATCTCGTCCCGGGGGAAGGGGGGGAAGGCCCCAGGGCCAGAAGCCGTTTCTCTCAGGTCGGGGGCGGCAAAGAGGGGGGTGATGACTAGGCGGGGGTGGATATCATGGCGGGGGCCATGATATTTCCCCAGATTGCATGGCGCCTCTTCTTATTGAATCGCTTCGCTCATTCCGCCGGCCCATACGGTCTCATGTCTGCCGTTTGCCCGAGGGCCTGGTGTCAATGCGGCGCTTTGGGGGTTCCTGGAGCCGCTTGGGGGACTCCTGGGACTCCTGGGGCCGCTTGGGGGACTCTTGGGGGCCTCCTGAGGGCCTCGTGGGGGCCTCTTGGGGCCTCTTAGGGGCCTCTTGGGGCCTCGTAGGGGCTTCTTAGGGCCGAGGGCGCGAAATTTTGTTTCGTGTTCCCTCTCTGGGGCCCCTTTGGGGGTGTTCTTGGGGCCCTCTTGGACCGTCTTGGAGGCTTCTTGGGCCGTCTTCGAGCCCTCTTGGGCCATCTTGGGGCCCTCTTGGGGGCCTCTTGGGCCCTCTTGGGGCGATCTTGGGGGCCTCTGGGGCCGTCTTGGGGCGTCGGGAACCGAAAAGGTGGAAGCTCCAAAATCTTTCAAAAACCTAAGGAAAAACAATGAATTTTGCCTCCGGGGGCCCTCTTGGGAGTGCTCTGGGAGGCCTCTTGGGGCGTCTGGGGGCTATCTTGGGCGTCTTGGAGCGATCTTGTGGCATGTCGGATCCCTCGTGTACCATCTTGGGGGCCTCTTGGGGGCCTCTGGGCCTTTCTTGGGACTCTCGGGGACGTCTCGGAGCCCTGTTGGTGCGCTCATGGAGCGCTCCTGGAGCGCTCTGGGGGACTCCTCTCGGGACTCTCTCAGGGGACCTTGCCGGGGTACTTTTCGTCCGGGGACCCCCAGGGGCCGCCCCGCGCGCGCGAACTAGAGAATTCTTAACCAGTTACCGGAGATCTTAGCACGCCTCTGGCCCGTTGGGCCGGCGAATTTCGTGACGTCCCTGGCCCCCCCGCTGGGCCGCGCACATGCCGCCGGTCATGATTTGCACCCCCCCTCTTGGACACCCTTCTCTTGGCCGCTCCCGATCTGGACAAGTGCCCCTCATGCTAGGTTGATGCGAACAAGAACCCAGACACGATCGCGGCGTGAAGAAATCAGGTTGGGAGGTTGTTGGCTAGTTTCGGCCCGGGGGGTCTCTCGCCGGGCCTCGGGACCGTCAATCAACGACTCGGGACGAAAAACAGGTCCCGGGGAAAGGGTCGGGACTTCCAGGGACACCATCCTGAAAAATCAGGGCGTCGCATGTCTGGGAGCCGGCTCCGACACCGAAGCGAGCCTCGGGGTCGGTTAGTTTTGGAAGTCGCCGCTGCGATCGCGGCGGCCAGACGTCGGAGCAAGGTCTTTGTCGAGTAGTGGCTTGCCCCTTCCAGCCCCATGTTTCACAGTGTAGCCACAGAATTGCCAACGCGTGTCAAACATGGGCATTCTTGCGTGTGTGGTCATGAGTCGATTATCACGCAAGCAATCCAACGTCAAGGCACAGGTTTGGGGCAGATTTTGGCCTCCGGGGGGACCTCTTCGGGGGCCTGGTATGGACAATGTCAAAGTCTGGGATCCCGGGGATTGGGCCAAGCTGGGCTCTGCGGTCACGGGCGCGCTCGAGACGGGTGCGCCGGGGCGGCATGTCAGGGTTGGTCGCCCAAGTCCTCAGGCCTCCAGCCGACGATTTGTCTCGTACCCTCGTGTCCTGAGCATGGGGTTCCTGTTGTTGGTGGGGCCCTCCGCCTCACTCCTCCCGCCTCCTCCGTGTCCAGCTTGCGGCCTCTACTGCCCTGGAACACAGCATAATTCGGCGCATGCGCACGGGTGCCCACCACGGGGTGATCCGAACAAATCTGACATGCTTGTCTTGATTGCCTCACGCAGTCCATCGTGTTCCACGGATTCCGCGAATTTCAGACCCCCCGATGCACATGTTCATTCAGGTTCAGACTCGCATTGCGAGTGAGTCGCCTTCATATCCAGCTGCCGCCGGCAATTCCGCCACCGTGCCAGCGCAGCATTCTGGATGGCAATAACTCGAGAACGCAAAGGAGGCCTGTTGGGAGCCTCTTGGGGCAGAAGGTTTGATTTCTGGGTTCGTGTTCCAACTCTTGGGCCCTTCTTGGGGCCGCCTGGGGGCTTCGTGGCAGTCGTGGGCGCCTCTTTGGTCGACTTGGAGTCCTCGTGGGCCGTCTTGGATCTCGTATGGAGGCCTCTTGAGCCTTTTTGAAGCGTCCGAAGCTCGAAACGGCGAGAACCCCCAAAACATCTGACATAATTAATAACATCAATAGTTGTTGCCTCCCGGGACCCACACTGGAGACTTTGCGGGGCCTTGTTTGGTCCTCTTTTGCCTCCTGGGCCCTCTTGGGGTGGAAGGCTAGCATTGTCGACTCGTGTTTATGGCCCTCTGGCATTTTTGGGCGCCTCCTCCTTGGCTGTCTTGGAGCCGTCTTGGGTCGTATTGGGGCCCTTTGGGGGGCCTCTTTGACCATTTTGGGGCAGTCTTGGTGGCCTGTTGGGTTATCTTGGGACCTCGGAAGCTTGAACAGGCGAGAACCAGAATAACATTGAAAAACATAGTGGTAATCAATGAATTGTGCCTCTCGAAGCCCCCTTGGGAAGGCTCTTGGAGCTCTTTTGGGACACCTCGACGGCCTCATGGGCCATCTTGAAGCCATCTGGGGCCACCTTGAGGCCAACGTGGCTAGTCTTGGAGCGATATTGGGCCGTCTTGGAGGCATTTGGGCCTCGGGAGCGCGAGCATGTTGTATTTTGCTAGGGTTCATGGCCTCGGGAAGAGGGGGCGATGCATGTGACTGGGTGCCAGTTGAGGGTGGGGCGGCTTAGGAAATTTCAAACCCGACCAGGCAGACGTTGACATTCTTCCACACGTGCACCGAAACATATTCTGACCTCCAACCATATCTACTCAGACTCGTCACGCTAAGATTCGTGCAACTTTGTGCAGAGCCGTTCGGACTCTGTCTCGCCCGCACTCAGACCCAATCGTGCCCTGACTCTCTGCGGCGAGCGAGGGGAAGAAGTAAGAGGGAGGAGGCCCTCTCTCTCAGAAGGCGGCGGGGCTTCTCAGAAGCCCTCTGGCCGTCTGAGCAGTTCCCGGCGTCGTCAGTGAAGGCGTAGAGCACCTTTCAGAAGACTGGGGGGACTCCCGAGCCTTTGAGAAGGCCCACCCCTTCGTACTTCCCCCCTAGGCTTAGGTCGGGCGTGTCCCCCTACAGGCGGAGTTTGGATGAAACACAAAACATATGCAAAACACATCAAACATATGCAAAGATCGTCAAACAGCGTTCCTATACTATTTGTTTTGCCTATTCTTGAAGATTCCCCCTGTAGAGGGACAGGCCCGACTGAACTCTAGGCTCGCCGCCCATCGCTTACCAGCCTGGAACATATCCCTATGCCTATGCTGGGCACCTCCTCATCACGATGCCAATCTTAGGGATTCCCTTATTTTCTGAGGGCGAATCCCCAAGATTGTCATCGCCTCTTGGCGTGCCAATCTTAGGGATAGGGATCCGCTCGAGGCTGGTAAACCCCAGTTGGGGATACACCCCTCGAAACCCGAAGGGAACGACCTATGTCCCCATCTAGGGGGGTAAATCGGCCAATGGGGCCCAGGCCACGCCGCTGGGGATGGGGATCGGTTACTCCAGATTTCGTAATAAAGGGAGGGGGGTCTCATTTCGGGGGGGGTCTTTTCCAGGCTATCCTGGAGGGCCTGGGGGGGTCTGGGGACGATGTTTTTGAGGGTTCTCCCACGGGGGGGGTCTGAAATGGCTTGTCTTGGAGGGTCCAGACCCCCTCCCTTTTATTACGAAATCTGTAGTGAACGATATTCAACGGCCCCACGCGACGGCGACGGCGACGACGACGGCGGCGGTAAATCCCTCTCCTGCGGAGGACGCCGCGATGCCCCCGACGGAGGGCTGAGCCGCGCGCCCCGGCCGCGAGAAGCCCCCGCGGCGGCGCCCCTCGCGGGCGCCCTGGGCGCCCCGGTCGCCACGGGGCCGCCGCGCCGTCGCGAGCGGCCGCCGTGCATCAGGAGCAGGAGGAGGACGAGGAGGAGGAGGAGGAGGAGGGGGAGGAGTAGGGGGAGGAGGAGGAGGAGGAGGAGGAGGAGGAGGAGGAGGAGGAGGAGGAGGAGGAGGAGGAGGAGGAGGAGGAGGAGGGAGAGAGCGAGGACGAGGAGGAGGAGGAGGAGGGAGGAGGAGGAGGAGGAGGAAGATGAAGAGGAAGAGGACGACGAAGACGACGACGACGATGACGACGACGACGACGACGACGACGACGACGACGACGACGACGACGACGACGACGACGAAAACCACGACGACGACGACGACGACGACGCGGGGCAGAGTCCTCAGGGAGGGCTTCGCGGGGCCTCGTCGGAGCGCACTCGTAGGCCTCTGGGGGGGGGGGGGGGGGCAGTTCGCGGGCCTCCCTGGGAGCTTCGAGGGGGCCTCCTTGGGAGCCGTCTGGGGGTCTGTTCGGGCTTCCTGGGGGACTCTTGGGGGCCTCGTGGGGGCCTCGTGGGGGCCTCTTGGGTCAGGCGATCGGGTTGGGCCTCTGGAGGGCTTTTCGTCTCCACGGCTCGATTCGCGTCCAAGCTCTATGGGGTCGGCTTGCGACCCCCGGGCCCAGACCCCCCGAAAGTCAGGCGATCGCTAACATGTATCTAGGGGGCGTGGATTAGCGACGGGTTCCGTTTCCATGGGAAATCGCGGATTTCCGCCACCGAAAGAGGCGGCACCGACCGCATTTTGGGGAGGGCACTTCCCCCGATCCATGAATTTGGTGACCGCGCGCTAAATCCATGGATCGCTAATCCATGTTTGCGCGCCCCCGATCTTGGAGCTTCTCGGGGCCGAGGACTCGAACTGTTCGGTCGGGCTTCCGTGTGGGCACCCTCCTGGAGCCGTCTTAGGGGCCTCTGGGGCCGCCTGGGAGGCCCAGAGAGCCGTCTTGGGGCCCTCTTGGGCTGTTTTGGGTCCGTCTTGGAAACCTCTTGGGGGCCTCTGGTGCCGATTTTTTGTGGTAGTTGAGCCGCCCTGGAGCGTCGGGAAACAGAAAAGGCAAGAACGCCAGAATGCCCAAGAACTGAGCGGAAATCATAAGATGTGTGCTTGTTGGGGCTCTCTTTGTGTGCTGTTGGAGGCCTCTTCGAGCTTCTTGTTAGCCACTTGGGCAGTGAGGAGGCCATCTGTGGCGTCTGCGGCCGATCGTTTGGCGATTCGTGGCCCTCTTGGACCGTTTTCGGTGCCTCTCGATCTGTCCTGGTTTTTCGGGCCCGAGAACCCCACGCGGGAGGATGGTATTCTGACCGGGGACCTCCCTCCAGGGGGAAAGGATAGAAGGGAAAGGGTCCCCATTCGAATCAACTGCGACGTGGCTCAAGTTCGGTGGTTGGTTTCGCTTTGGCTGGCGCGTTTGAGGTTTCGGTTCGGTTTCGCTGTTGCTGGCGCGCTGGAGAAGGAGGACCCAGTGACTGGGACGACGACAACGACGACGACGACGACGGCGGCAGCGTTTTCCATACGCCGAAGGGTCGGCGGATTTATATGGCGATACCATCATCAAACTCACGATCGGCATCTCGATTGACATCACTATCGATCGATCGATCCCACTACCTGTTTGTCGATCGTATGTTCCATCCATCGGGACAACTAACGCGTTTGTTGCTGCATTCTGGCCGAATTCTCGAGGGGCCGATAGTTCAGGTGTTGTTGGAGTCGGGACAACAATCGGGACAACCACCAGGACAACCAATGCCACAACCATCGGAACCACCATCGGGACAACCATTGGGATAACCATCGGGACTACCATCTGGACAACCATCGGGACAACCATCCGGACAACTATCTGGACAACCATCGGAACCACACTAGGGACAACCTTCGGGACAACCATCGGGACAACCACCAGGACAGACACCGCGATCGCCATCAGGACAACCATTGGGGTCTTTCATCGGGACCACCGTTGGGACAACCGTCGGAACAATCATCGGGGCAGCGGCGAGCCAACCACGCGACAACCGCGGGACAACCACGAGGCACCCACGGGACAACCGCGGGACAACCGCGGGCCAAATTCGCCACGCGGCGGAGAATAGTTGTTTGCATTGACTTCACTCTGGCAACGGCAGGGTCACTTCTCTCGCCCGCGCGCGCAGCTTCGCCTCGCACGCACGGCACGAACACCGAACCGAAACCGATCTCCCAGTGGGGCGTATCCGTTTCTTTTCGACCTCAATTTCCAATTTCCGATTCCCATCCCCATTGGACCATGGCATTTTACCCCGATCAGCCCAACCTTGCAGGTGGGAATATGCCCCCGCGCAGCCCGAAGGCACATGCTAGGTGGGCTAGTCGGCCAGTGGGGCAATAGCCACGGCAGTGGGGATAGGGTCTGGCGAAGCGGTGCTCAAAAGCGGCCGCGGAGTCGCGTCCCGCCGCGGCTGCGTTCAGTAGGAATGTCTGTGAGCCTCGTATGCCTTCGAAATTCCATATTCTGAGTGCACCAGCGTGCGCTTGCGTCTGGCAATCGACAAGAAAGCATCGATCTCGCACCGTCAGATTGCCGATCAGCGTCGATGAGCCACGGCAGTCGTCGGTTAGCGTTGGTTCGTGAGAGCCATCAAGATGGCATGGGAGGCACCCGTGAGTTGTCACCGATCGCCGGCGAACGAGGGGGGGAAGTGAGAAGGGGCGGGCCTTCTCAGAAGTCCTGGAAGTCCCCCGGCTTTCTGAGACGCTTTCTACGTCGTCCCCGAAGGAAGACCAGACAAACAAATCTCAGAAGGTGCGAGGGCTTCCGAGAAGTCCCGCCGCCTCCTGAGACGGCCTTTCTCCTTCTCAATTCCCCACCCTCGCTCGCCGCAGAACATGGCTAGACCTAAACGCTGATTTGCTGGACTTCGGCTGAGTTTTGTTGTTCCCCACATCCTAAGTGGGGTTCTTGTTTTCTCTGGACGGCCGCGGGCCACACCCACACACCCAGTCACACACACACACACATACACACACACACGCACAAACATACACACACACAAACACAAACACAAACACAAACACAAACACAAACACAAACACAAACACACACACACACACATCATGATCATCATCCTCGGGCATTCCATGTGAGCCCGCTCGCGCGGAAGGGACCTCCCCTGTGGCCCTTAGGGGGTACCAACTAACCGTTGGAATTCCAACGGCTATCGGCACCAGCGAGCCCGCTCGAACGGAATGACCCTCAGGTGCATTCCATGCGAGCCCGCTCGCGCGGAAGGGACCTCCCCTGTGGCCCCAGGGGGTCCCACCTAAAAGTTGGAATTCCAACGGCTATCGGCACCAGCGAGCCCGCTCGAACGGAATGACCCTCAGGTGCATTCCATGCGAGCCCGCTCGCGCGGAAGGGACCTCCCCTGTGGCCCCAGGGGGTCCCACCTAAAAGTTGGAATTCCAACGGCTATCGGCACCAGCGAGCCCGCTCGAACGGAATGACCCTCAGGTGCATTCCATGCGAGCCCGCTCGCGCGGAAGGGACCTCCCCTGTGGCCCCAGGGGGTCCCACCTAAAAGTTGGAATTCCAACAGCTATCGGCAGCAGCGAGCCCGCTCGCACGGAATGACCCTCAGGGGCATTCCACGCGATCCGCCCCAGCGCGCGCAGCGCCGACGGGGCGTCGCGGCTGGTCGGGCGCGTGCGGCGCAAGGTGTGCGGATGTGGGTCTGCCTCCCGTGTCTGCTGGCAGGTTGGGAATGGCAGGTCAGGTCAGCGCCGTCCAGCTCGGCCACTCCATGGCATCCCGGGAGTGGGGCTGCAGCGCAAGCGCAGGGGCGGCCGCGCCGGCAGCCCCCGCTGGGCTGCGGCCTTGGGAAGCCGAGCGCGCCGCAAAGGGGGCGCGCCGGCCTTTGAGGCGACGGATGCTCGGCCCCGCGGCCGTGCGGCGATGGGGAGCCGGCGGCACAGACGGGGCGCCGCCGCAGGCACAGCCGCAGTGCGGCGCGCAGGGCTCCTCAGCGAGACGCTGCTGACTGGGCGGGGCGCCGCCGACCGCGCAGCCCAGCCGCCGCGGGGGCGGTCCTCTCGCCCGCCCGCCGGCCTTCACCAGCCCCGCCAGCAGCGTGCACCCCCTGGCGGCGGCGACCCGCGGCGCCTGCAGCTGCAGCTGCAGCCACTACGGGGGGGGCGAGGTGCGGGCGATGCAGGTCGCGACAACGCCAGCGGGCTCGGCAGGGGGGCGCGCGTGCGCACCCCACGCGGGCGGAAATTTGGGCGCGTTGCCAGCTCCAGCAGCGCGGCCGCGCCAGCAGCAGCGAGGCGACGGCGCCGCTGGAGGCGACCCGGGCAGCCAGCACGGCAGGCGTGGCAATTCTGGCGCTGCAGCAGGCGGGTCTCCAAGGGCCTGGAGGAGGCCAACGCCTAGCGCCCGCGAGCCCCCGCTGCGGCGCTAACGCCGCTGACCGGCCGGGGCCCCTGGCGACGGCGCAGCTCGACGAGGGCGACTGTGCCATCGAGCAAAAGTACGCGTCGCTGGAGGAATTCGCCCGGCTGCTCGAGCGGGCGGCGACACCGCTGGCGGCGGTGAGAGCCTCGGGGGTGCGCTCCCCCGACCGCCGTTTGGCGGATGCCGACGACGGAGTCGACAGCGGCCTCGAGGTGCCTTCGCCGCCTCGGGCGATCGGGGGCGCAGCCGGAGACCAGGCGGCTGCGGTAGTTAACCCGGAGAGGCAATTAAGAGTCCCGCCCTCTCCGGCGGAAGTATTATGTTCCAGCAACCTGGAAGCGCTACCCTGGCACCTCGTAGCCTGCTTTGAACGCAGACGAGTCTGCCCGCCGAAATAAGGAAACCGCCCGAAACAGTCTCGCAATCTGGCCTCCGTGTGGTTCTGATGATGCTGATTATGATGCCTCTGTTGC